ACAACCCCAGGTTTAAAATGGAAGCTTATCAACCTTTAAACCTGTGTCATCACTGCTACCCAGCCAAGCTAAGTTGATGTATTTAATGAGTTAATTTGCTGTCTGGGAAGGATGTTAGCACAGAGTAAGGAAGTCCATCAATGTCATGTGATGCCTTGCAATTCAAAGTCCCAGCAGAGAAGTTTAAGTGACCACTGAGTGAAGAAGTAGTGAGTTTTGTGGGAGAGGACAGCTCCTTCAAAGCGAATCTACTGCTTTGGAGGCTAAACAAAGGTACTGCCCAAGGAATTTCACTGGTATGACTCCAGTCATTAGCATTTTGGACCCTACCCACACAGCTCTACTAAGAAAAAGAACTTAGTCTCATCTTAACACCTGCTATTCTGGGAAGATTTAAAAAATCTTTTCCATATATTTTTTTAAAAACACACAGCCTTCTTGATCAAGAATTCTGGTCCTGAACATTGTATTTCCTTCTGATGCTTGCTGCTCTGTGTGCAATTCAAATTTTTTTAAAAGAAAATTAAATAATTTTCTCTCTCTCTAATCTTAATACTGTTCAAGGCTGAGTTCCTAAGCATGTCAGTGTTGTTGTTCATTATGAAGTCCAGGCCATGAGAATTAAAGTGTAGCAATAAGACATAATAGTTCACTTGAAGTCACAGTAAATGCTTGCACAGTAGTGTGTTAATGAGTGTTAAAACTGACATCATAAATACAACGTTCTCAACTTTTAAAATTACAACTCTGTAACAGGTCATGCTGGTAAAAACACACAAGAAATACAAGTTGAGCCTTCAAAATAGATAACAAACAGCACAGATAATCACTAACCCAAGTGCATACAAATAATTTTTTAAATGAGAAGAGAATTAGCAGGTGGTTAAATTATTTGAGTAATAAGACAAGTAGAAATAAACCCAAGTATTAAGTACCAATTACCACCTTCTGGGCTTCCAACCTTCTACAGTTTGGCATTACAACATGCCTCTGCCTTGTGGCAAACCCATGAAACTTGGAAATGTTAATGTTGGGTTTTGTTTTTGTTGATTTTTCTAAAAGAAAAACTCAAATTTGAAACCATATAATCCACATCAACCAAATAATTTGCTCAGGCAGAATAGTGACATTTTCCCAATCTAAAACTTTTAAAGCCCCCATCATGTACTGTGTAAAAAAATAAATGGGCCCCTATATTTTCTCCTAAACTAACCTTGAATGAACTTACAGGTTTGTCATCCCAAAGAAAACCTTTCTTTGCCCACAAAACATCCACCAATCAATAGCCTTGTGAATTGACCTCTTTTTCTAGCTAAAATATTCTTAAAGGGAATTAAAAACCAGGTTTGTAGGTCAGATTGGCAGGGCCAAAGCCTAAAGAAATCACCTTGTGCTAGTACTCTTTATAAAAATGAAACTGAAAATGGTACTGATGAGTTTCTTCCTTTCTAATCTGAAACATAACCAAGCTTTAGTAACTAGAGGAGATGATTTCTACCTAAAATGCTATTTTATAGGTGAATTGAGAAGCTTAAGTCTGGACCACATATTGACATTAATGGTTTGATGGTGCTATTTCAGAGAGGAAGAACACTTTTCTCCCTGGGTCCCAGATCAATTTAGATGATTTAAAATTAAGTCTGTTGTTGAAGCCACATAGATTAGTCTTCCCTTCCTTCTGAACCTGCTGCTTGCAAAACTTACTTTAGGCTATTAAATGGATGGTGCTATTAAACTTTTCCTCCTAGCTTTACTCCTGCTTCAGGAAGGGGCCAGATCCTTTTCTACATGACTATATATGCAAGAGAAGTTAAAAACAGTTTCTAAAGCACTTTGGGATTTCCCCCAGGTGAAAGGTACCATATAAATGCAAGTTGTTTCCACAATGAATTATGAACCTTCCAGCTAACTTATCTAAAATGGATACAACCATCAGAAACACCTCATCATTTATAATGAAATACTCTTTAGGAAAAAATTCTATCTAGAACAACTGAGTACTATCCTGTCTCCTTGCAAATAAGCCTGTAATAAGGAATTAATAGCCACTTTATAACATGCCCAATACGGGGCCCAATAAAGTTGGTTAAAGCAAGTGAAAACATTCTCAGGCATACCTGATAAGTCACCTGACATCACCTGCCTCCAAAATAATCTGGAGGTGATTTTGTAAACTGTTGACTTTCCATCTGTGGAAATATTGGTGAAAGTCAGGTATTTTGTCTGCAAAAATCTGTGGAATAGCCCTGAACTTCTCAATCTGTTGCCTCTCAGTCTTTTCAAATTCTCATATTTGTGTATGAGTGTGTGTGTATGTGTGTGTCTGTGTGTCTGTGTGTCTGTGTCTGTGTGTGTGTATGTGTGTGAAAGAGAGGGGAGAGAAGGAGGAGAAGGAAGAGAAGGAGGAGGAGGAGGAGGAGGAGGAAAGGAGTGAGGGAGGGAAAGAGGGAGGGAGGGAGGGGGAGAGAGAGAGAGAGAGAGAGAGAGAGAGAGAGAGAGAGAGAGAGAGAGAGAGAGAGAGAGAGAGGGAGAGAGAGGGGGGGGGGGGGGGGGGGGGGGGGGGGGGGGGGGGGGGGGGGGGGGGAGGGGGGGGGGGGGGGGGGGGAGAGAGAGAGAGAGAGAGAGAGAGAGAGAGAGAGAGAGAGAGAGAGAGAGAAAGTGC